CTCTTTATTTATTTGGAATATCTTTTGTTGCAAAAATAATACAGAGACCCTTACTGTTCTATTCCTTTAGTGTTAACACCTTATATAACCAGAGAACATTCGTTAAAACTAAATTGACGTAGTACTACTATCTAAACTACAGACTTTAATCAGAGTTCACCAGTTTTCTCACAAATGCCCTTTTTCTATTCTGGGATCCAATGCAGGATACCACATTGCATTTAGTGATCTTGTTTCCTTAGTTTCCTCCATTTATGACAGTTTCTCTCTCTTTTCTTGTTTTTCATAAACTTGACAGTTTTAAAGAGTAGTGATCAGGTATCAGAATGCCCTTCAATTTAGGTTTGCCTAGTGTTTTCTCATTTCTAGAATGGGGTTATGGAATTTTGGGAAGAGAACACCCCATTTATTTCTTTCTCAAAAACTCAACTCTATACTTTATTTAGGTTTTATGAGTTTTTCTCTTCTTGCCCTCTTTCTGTTCCAAGCTCCAGTCCAGGGTACCACATTGTGTTTAATTGTCACATCTCCCCAGTGTCCTTCAGTTTGTGATAGTTGCTCAGTCTTTCCTTGTTCTTTGTGACCTTGCCAGTCTTGAGGAGGAATAGCCGGGTGTCCTTTAGTTGTCAACCAATCTGAATTTGTCTGATGCTTTTCCCATGATTAGGGTGGGTTATGGCGTTTTTAGAAAGAATACCCCAGAGGTGGAATGCTCTTTAATTACATCATATCAGAGGGTATGTGAAATCCACATGACATACCTGGTGATGTTATCCTTCTTCATTAGTTAAGGTAGTTTTCTTCACTTCAAAGGACTCAAGGAATTTTTTAAACAGGTTTATTGAAATGTAATTCACATACCATACAATTTACCCATTCAAAGTATACAATTAATCATTTTTTTGTATATTAACATGATTAATTTTTTCCCCAGTTTTATTGAGAAATAATTGACATCCATCACTGTATAAGTTTAAGGCATACAGCATGATGGTTTGATTTACATATATTGTGAAATAATTACCACAATAGGTTTAGTCAACATCCATCATCTCATAGAGGTAGCACCTCCTCCTCTTTAATACCTTAAATTACCTCTCCTCAGTAAAGACTTGCCTTCCCATCCAAAATTAATCATGCTCTCTATTCACAAAGCGCTCTGTTAGTAATTTTCAAGGGCACTAACTCTATTTTTCTTTGGATGAGCAGTTACTTACATTACATTGTCAGTTTTTAAAAATTGTGGTGAAATATATATCATCTAAAATTTCCCATTTTAACCTTTATTTTTTTGGTGAGGAAGATTAGCCCTGAGCTAACATCTGTTGTCAATCTTCCTCTTTTTGCTGAAGAATATTGGCTCTGGGCTAGCATCTGTGTCCATCTTCCTCTACTTTATGTGGGATGCCACCACAGCATGGCTTGATAAGTGGTGCATAGGTCCACTCCTCGCATCCGAACCTGCGAACCCTGGGCTGCCAAAGTGGAGTATGTGAACTTAACCACTACGCCACCAGTCCGGCCCCCATTTTAACCATTTTTAAGTGTACAATGAATTATATTTATGATATTGTGCAACCAACACCACTATCTACTTCCAAAACGTTTTCATCACCTCAAACAGAAATTCTATAATCATTAAACAATAGCTCCTCATTCCCCTCTGCCTCCAGCCCCTGGTAACCGCTAATCTACTTTCTGTCTCTATGAATTTGCCTATTCTGGGTACCTCATACAAGTGGAATCATGCAATATTTGTCCTTTTGTGTCTGGCTTATTTCATTTAGCTTGCTGTTTTCAAGGTTCATCCATGTTGTAGCAGCATTCAAGGTATTTTAACAGAGAGAATTGAATGTGGGAATTGATTAAAGGGGTAGTGGAGGGCCAGAAAGATACGAAAGCAGTACTAGGGTTAAAATGGGGAGAGTTTCTGTGGGAATCAGCTGACCAGCCTAGGCCTGAAAAACACAGGGCATAGTTATGGTTATCAGACCCTAGAGGCTTAGACCAGAGAATGGAGGATACCATGTGGATCTGGTACTGATACCTCTGAGGAGGCGTTGCTGACCAGCTGGTGCTGGTATATTTGAGGGGGCACAATGAGGCTGGTTCTGCGTGTGGGGCAAGAAAGTTGAAAAATGGAATGATCTGATACTGCTGGTCACCAACACATGAAGATTCAAGTCATGTATCCCCCCCATCTCCTTCCTGTCTTCCTCTCATGTCTCATATCATCAGAACATAACAGGAAACAAACTGGGCATAAGGAGCTCACCTTCAGGCCCTGGGTGTGGACTGTGGGCAAGGAGGTACAGCAGGAGGGTGATTGGTTTATTTACTTGGCCGAGATGAGGGTGACCTCATTTCCTATAATTGATTGTCTGTAAGAACAACCTCTTAAACAGCTGAAATGTTTTACCCCTAAAATAACCCAACCAGTCAGAATGAAGGCAGACCAGCTTGTGTTCCCAGTCCTCAAAGCGAGGCATCCCATCGCTTGTCTTTTGTCTTGTGCTGAACTGAAGCCTTTGAAATGGCTTAGGTCATCAGTGCCTTGTGCTTCTTTTGTTAGAGGATACACTTCTTAAAAATAAAAAAAAACTAATTTAAAAATTTTTACAGCTGTATTGAGATATGATTGACATATAACATTGTGTAAGTTTAAGGTGTGCAACGTGATGATTTGATACATGCATATAACACAAAACGACTAAGTAGATAAACTTTTAACATGGTTCAGCGTAAACTTCTCATGAATATAGGAAATAGATTTGTTTTTATCTTATAGATTCTGTGAATTTCCTATTTGGCTGCTAGGAGCCTCAGAGCATCTTTCATTGTAATGTGCACTTTTAACCTGGCTCCTCTGCTTTAGGCCTTCAATTTTGTTTGGTGTATCAGTCAGCGTAGATCAGGTTATGCTGCAGTAACAAATGACTCCCCTGAAGCTCACTGGCTTATGACAACAGAAGTCTAGTGTTGAAGCCATTAAATGGAGGAGCTAATCACATAACTAAAGACATAATTTGAAAGTGTGACTTGTGGTTTGAAGAAAAAGCCTACAGAGAACTGTAAATGTTGATCTTGTCTGGGTGATGAACAAGGAGATTTCCTGGAAGAAATGATACTTGAGCTATAAAATGAAGGATAAAGAGGCAGTTGGGTGGAATGATCTAGGCAGAGGGAACTGAGGTGGGAAAAAAAGAAGGCCAAAGTGACTGGGACAAAGGAAATAAAAGGGTAGAGATGAGAACACGGGACCTAGAAGTCAAATTAAGGCTTTTTTACTTATCCAAAGAACAGTGGGAGACCACTGAAAGATTCTAAGAACTTGCATGGCAGGTCAGATTTTCATTTTAAAATAACCATTCTTGCTGCTGTTGGAAAATAACTTGGAGAACAGATGGTGACAGAGGTGGATTTGCTGTGAGGCAAACACAGCATAACTGCAGGACTCTTACTTTATGGGCCCCTCCAAGGCCCTGGGAGAGACCTGACAATGCGCTTACGTGGCTGCACTAATTCTGTGTTGCTATTTTTGTATTTTTCTTAAGGAGGAACTCCTCCTGCATTAATCATACAGGTTCTGCAAACCTGGATCTGCCCCTGATACTCAATAATAAACTTCCAGGATAAACTTTCAAGTCCTTACTTGGGGGAAATCCTTGCTCAGGGGTCTTGAAGAATTAAGCTATGGATTTCAGTGCTGTGCCACCTGTTGTGTCAGGTATGGTTCTCGGTGGTGAGCAACTCTGGCTGGCTTCAGCCAAGTGGGAATTTGTGGGCAGGATATTAGGGTAGGAGCTGACACACTTTTTCTGTAAAGGGCCAGATAGTAAATATTTTCAGCTTTGCAGGCCGCATGTGGTCTGTTGTAACTGTTCACGTCTGCTGTTGCAGGGTGGAAGCAGATATTGACAGTATGTGAATGAGTGAGCATGACAGGGCGCCAGCAAAGCTTTATTTATGAAAACAGGCTTCATGCTGGATTTGGTGAGTGGGCCATAGTTTGCTGACCCCTGTATTCAGAGACTCAGGAATCATTGGGTAAAACACCACAGCTTTGCAGATGGGTGGGTGTACAAGACTCAGTACATGCATCACTCCAGATCTGCTTGGCCGCATCTGCTCACCCCAACCTCAGCCACTTGCTCTGCCATTCCTGTGGATAAAGCCCCAACTACTGCCATGGCTATTATTGCACCATAGAATGAGGAGCCCTGGGTTTACTACTTAAGAACTTGATGACCCTAGACAAGTCACTCCCTGATGAAGGGGTTCAACTGGATCAGGAATGACATGCTTATGCTTCCTGGGGTGCTGAGAGGAGAAAGACTTTGAGGCTACGCCCGAGTTCAATTGGAAAGAAGATGTGATTGATGAGTCATGTCTGCTGTGGACACTTGGATAGAGAGAGGTGGCACACCTGCTAAATATTAGTGATCTTGTAACTAGCTGATCTTTAAGGTCCTCTAGGGTTCTGAAAAGCTACGGTTCTGTGTCTGGATACTTTCTTTGGAACATTCTGGAGATGGAACAATTATGTAAAATATAGCCACTTGGCATGGAAAGGTGGCCTGTCACTTAAAAAAATCCCAACACATCTGCTTTTATGAAAGAAGGGACAAGGCTCCTGATTCTTTGGTCATGACAGACACACCTGGGAGGCAGCTGGCCATCAGGAAAAAGAAATCAAATCCATAATGCCTTTCACATCAGCCTCACGGTTTAAACACAGAGCTAAGATTCCAACACATACTTTGAAAGTTTGACAACTGTTTATTGAACACCCATTATGATGATCAAAGACTTGTTCCCTGCCCTCAAGAAATTGTAGTTGTTAATGTCTCATCCTAGATGAGAGAGCAGAATCAATTAGAAAGAATATTAGGAGTGGCTATCTGGAATAAGTAGAGGTTGGAGGTAGTGGAAAGTGGGTGAAGGGAGAGAGAAGGCACTCCAGCTTGGGGAAAAGGGGATGAGTAAGAGGACATTAGTCTTGTTGGAAGAGTGAATTCATGGTGGGGGAGATGGGAAATGATTTTAGCTGATTGCTGGTAGACGGTGGAATTGTAAGAGTGTGAGAAGTCAGGATGTGGAGTTTGATCTTGGTTTGTAAATAATGGGGCGCTATTGTGTCATCTTGAGTGTTCTAGGAAGATCAAGATTTGTAGATGGTGTGAAGGGCAGACGAGGGGTGAGAGGGGCAGATAGGCAAGGAAGGAAGCTGGTGCAAAGATGCAGATATGAGAGTATGGGACTTGAGCCTGAAGAGTGACGTGGAAGGGAGGAGAAGATAGATATGAGAACTGTTTCAAAGTCAGGCTGGGCGGGGTATGGTGGTTGGTGGCATATGAAGAATGCAAGAAGAGGAAAGTCATAGACAACTGCAGAATTCTGAACCTGGGGTCTGAGGTTGAGAGTGCCAGGGAACACTTAGAGGAGGGAGCTGCAAGGGGACGCATCTTTGGCTGTGAATTTTCAGTGATGGCAGATATACGCACAGGTTATTTGAGTGGGAAAGGTCAGGGCTGGAGATAGGGAGACATGCATCTTAGACTTGGAAGGCAGCGCATGTGATCCAATTTCCAGCCCAGTGCCGAAATCCCATGAAGGCAGCCTTGACTGCTGGTTATCAAGGATCTTTAGAATTCTTCCAGGGACCTCCTACCTACAAGGTAGGGAGAACTTTTATTAGGCAGTTTCTCTAATTAGAAGTTTTCTGATGGGTCAAGGCTTAGCAGGCAGTGGCAAGGGGGCTGGGCTGGAAGCCAGACCTGGACCCTCCCACTGACTTACTGTGTGGCATTTGACAAGGCATTTAACCTCTCTGGGCCTCTATCACTCTGTCTGAAAAATAAGAGGTGACACTAGGGGATTTGCCATAGCTCCAACATGCTCTGATTCAGAGTGGTTGAAAGTTGAAACCATGAGAATGGATGAGTGGATGGATTTTATTGGAGAGAGGGCAGAATCCAGGGTCCTGCGTGAGAGTGTGTGTGTGTATGGCATTAGTTAGGAGGGAGAGACCCAGAAATGGAGGATGCAGCTCCTTTAGCCAGAGAAAGTCATGAGCTAGAAGGAGAATGGTGTCAAGGCGCCAGCTTGCTAAGGAAGAAGCATCTTAGAGAGGGAACAATTCTTGTCATACCGAATTTCCAGGGATTGGAAGGGAATCTCTGGGAGAGGGGAATAGATGTGGTTCTCAGGAGGACGTTATAACTCCAGGTGAGAGTCAGGAGCCAGTGAAGGTTTGATTGGGGTGGGAGGTGGTGAGTGGGCATTGGATTATCAATGGAAAATCTTGAGCTTTTCCAGTTACATTTGTGTAGGTATGATTCATGGGAGAAAGAATAGGGTTTCAGCTGAAAAGAGGAGGAGAAATTAGGATAAGTGAATGGGCTCTTAGGTTGCATTAATAGAGGTAGAGATTCCAGCCTGAGGGAGGTGACGTTAATGTTACTGCCATGCCTTGTGCTCAGTTTTAGCTGGCTTGTTCTAAGAAGGAGAGGAATGGATTGAAGGAGGACCTGCATGAGGGGTGTGAGGAAAGAAGGGCTGGGTGCCATTTGGCCTTGGGAAGAGAAGATTTTGGGAAAGTGGGGAGAGCTTTAAATATCTGTGGGGCAGAGCACCTGAAAGAAATCCCCTCCCTGCCCTTTCTACTTCTGTAGATAAAGCCGTTTCCGAAGTGTGCTTTGGATTTCGGGGTTCACTTTCCTCGCTTTTCCTTCCTGAACCAGCTCTGCTTCTGCCATCCGCCGGGTCACCTGTGGCAACAGATGTGGTCAGCTTGGGACAGGGTCACTGGGGGAGTTGGTGTAATGGGCTTACAGGGAGAATGTTAGAGAACAGGGCAGGTGGGTCTCCATGTCCTAAGATGGGAGACCTTTATTGTCTCATCCTATATTATAATCTCTATAGAATCATTCATTGGACGTTCTTGTTATGTTTTTTTCTAATTTGCCATAAAAGCACATAACGATTAGAAGAAAAAAAGCTTGCTCCAACATTGGTTAAACCCAAGGGTTTTGTTTACAGAAATTTATCTGTTTCGTCTAAATTATTGCATGTACTGTGGGCTTCAGGATTCCCTTCATTAGGGAAAGTTGCTGCTGGGAGATGAGCGTTCCAGTTCCTGTGTTGGGACTCAGATGGGATTTGGGGCTGGGGGCAGGGGAGGGGAAAATGCAGAAAGGTTTGGAAGAGGCTCAGCCACACTGCTTGCTCCCTGCTCAGGCTGGTTGGTGTTCCAGGTACCTTGTCCCAACTCACCTCTGTCAGAAGCTCCAGGATGGGTCCTCTCCTCTCTGTGAACACATCAACCAGGGTCTGGATAAAGCAGGAGCCCTCCTTGTCATTTCTGTAGGCAATGTAGCCTGTGGATTTCAGAGGAGTGGGCTCAGGGAAGCTCCCACAGCGGGTGGGAGGGTGGGGTGGAGGCCCTGGAAGAGGATGGGTCCTGGAGGAGCATCTCAGGGTTCAGGAGAGGTGGGCGGGGCAGAGGAGCAGAAGGCCACCCCAAGTCAGCTGGGAGCTCATACCCTCCACGGTGGAGTAGACGTGGAGCGTGTCTGTGTACGTTGGGATGGTTTGGGGGCTGTCTTTTGCGATCATCACAATATCATCTCTACCTACTGTTTCACCGGGGTCCCTTTGTTCTGAAACACCAAGGAGAGGAAAAAGCAAAGTCAGAAAGAAGACAGGAAAAGGAGAAGGCCATAACACAGGCTGGCAACGAAGGCTTAGCTGGTGCTCTGGATCTGGGATGGGGCTGGATCAGGAACACAAGCTCTGTGTTCCTGGCTCTGTCCCCACCTCCTCGACAGGCCTGCACGATGTACACCTTAGGCTTGGCTTTCAGGGCTTGGCAGTTCTTGTTGTTCAGAACCTTGAAGAGGCTCTCCAGCTCGACCATCTGCTCGTCCTCCCCTTTGAGACGACCTTCCACCCCATGTGCCATAAGCACCACGAAAGCACAGCTGACGAAGTCTTCCCGGGCATCCATGGCCTGCTGGAATTTTTCCAACTCTTCCTGGAATTGCTGGAGCCAGAGAAGCGGCCAGACTCAGGTGTGGCCCCAGAGCCCACTTCTGGTCCGGCCCCTCCCCCACTGGCCCGGGGCTAGCTGCACAGTACCTGGGCAGTGGGATCTCTCTTCATGGTGCTCTCAAATCCCAGCTGCTGGAACATGCGTTCCAGGGCATCCAGGTCTGCCTCTGAACCTTCCCGGGCTTTGGTGACGCACAGCGTCAGGGCAAGGCGGGCACCTGACATGTCGTATGCCTCCTGGGCCAAGAGATAACAGTAATCATCAGAGGAGTAGGGAGGTCAAGGAGAAGCGGGAGATGGGGTCCAAAGAGGCCTGGGGTTAGGGTTGCTGGGTAAAACACAGGATGCTCAGTCACACTCAAATTTCAGATTAAAAAAAAAACAAATAAGTTTTTTAGTATAAGTATAACCCATATATTGCACAGGATATACTTATACTGCAAAATTATTTATTGTTGATCTGAAATTCAAATTTGACTTGGCGTCCATTATTTTTATTTGCCAAATCTGGCAACTCAGCCCGGGGTCTGGCTCTGCTTTAGCCTGTGTGAACTTGGGCAAGTCACTGCTCCTGTCTGAGCCTCAGTTTCCCAATATAGACAATGAGTGTGTGTGTATGTGTGATTTTAAAGGTCCCTTTCAGTTGTCACATTTGGTGGCTTTATCTCTCTTTCCATTCTTCCCAAAAGTGTCCTGAGCATTACTTTCTCACTTGCAGAGGTCTAAGAATTTCTGAAACTAATACTGAGATCCTATCTCATCCCGTCTGAGGAAGAAGGATATTGGGGTCAAAATTTCTTTTCAGGAGAGAAGTAGGATACTGAGTACCATAGTGATAAGTATTTGATCACTGAGACAGATGTATCAGGGTTTCTCCCAAACTTGGGTTCCATCTCTGAGTTTTTTTCTCCATCTGAATGATCACAAAGCACCTTCTAGCACTGAATCCAGCTCGTGATTTTTCACCCCCTCTACTGTCTCTGAAACATTAAGCTCCTCACCCCCCAGATGCTCCCACCCTTCTCCCACAACCTGTACCCAGCCTACCTCTTCCAAAGGCCGAGGATCGCTCATGTCTCCTCTGATTCTGAGTCTGGCTCTCAGCACCTTTGGCTGATTCTAGGAGGTCAAGAGAAGATAGATTGAAGGTCTCCAAAGGAAGGCAGAGGGGCTCAGGGGACAGAGTAGTTTGTCTATCTGAATTTTGCTATCTGAATTTGTCTATATGAATTTTGACATCTGAATATAGGACCCCAGTGGTGGGGACTTGGTTTATGGTCAGACCTGGGGAAGAGATGACAGTCCATAAAGTATGTCCTCTTTAATGTGACACTCCAGTGGTGTCTTCCATCCCTGGATGTCCCCAGAACTCCTGCTAGGCCCATCCCACAATGCCACCCATGTAGAATCTTCCCTATCCCTCCCTGAGGACACTCACCAGCCTATGACAGACTGGACATCCCCCTGAAGACCCTGGACTGAGGAGCGGACAAGCGGCCCCATGGACTCCCCTCTGCCACCCAGGAGTGACTGGCTGGGGAGACATCAACAAGGAGATGCTTTGGGGATGGGTTTAAAATGAGAACGTCATCAAAGTGGGGAATACTACTTTGAAACTGTCCCAGTGGGTCTCTAAACTGAACAGATCGATCCACCTCCCTCCCTCTGCCTTGAGCCTGAACATCTGTTCAATTTCTTCATTCTCATCTCTGAGTCCTGTTCTACTCTCTGGCTGAATGAAATGACTTTTGCCATGTTCTTGGTGTTTTCCCATCTCCTTGTCTTTTCTTACACTTCCTCCTCAGCCTGGAAAGCTTCTTTACCAGTTTGGGTGGTATAATGTCTGCTATGCCTTCCTCCATCATTCACCCATCCATCCATCCATCCTCCATCCACTTGTCCATCCAACCACCCATTTATCTATCTATCCAGCAGATATTTTCTGGGAGCCTACTATGTGCTGGGCACTGGGAATACACTATATATGCACTATATAAGACATGCCACCTGCCCTCATGTGGCTCTAGTCTATGACAGAAATGAACGTTAAATCTCTCTCTCTCTCTTTTTCTCTTACAACACACACACACACACAATGGAACCAGTGCTGTGAGGAAAGAGGAACCAAATACTGTGAGAGAGAGAGTAGAAGGAGCATGGGCTCTGGATCCAGATACACCAGAATCAAGACCTGCGTCTGCCCCTTCCCAGCTGTGTGAACTTGAGCATTTCAGTCTCCTCTCGGAGACTGTTTTTCCATCTGAAAAGGACCATGAAAGAGTGCTAGATGCTTTGCAGCAATCCAGCAAGGTAGATTTTATGATCCCTGTTAACCCACTGGAAGTTGCCTCTCCCTTTTGCAGACTCTCACAGCTCTGCCTGTTTATACTTGCATTACAGCACTGCTTTTGGTTCTTATTCTACTGGCTGAACTGGCAGCTCAGGTTTTAGGCCTGAAAGTCTGATTTCTTTATCTCTGTCTCCGCCAGGGTCACCAAAGTGGGAATGGGCACAGAAGTAGTGTCGGGGAAAATTTGTTGAGTAAACAAATAATAAACAAATGAACAAATGAAAGAAAGGATGGATGAATGGATGCAAATTTCTTCAGTTCTGCCAAAAGTGCCAGAGCATCCATTCATGCAGGGAGAGGGGGAGAATGAGAGAGAGAGAGAGAGAGAGAGATTGAGAAGGACTAATATCTGCCAAATCACTTACTGACTCTAGAAGTAGCTGCTCCTTGAAGCCAGGCTGAGTCTCGCCTCTCTGCTAGCTGCGAATAGGGCTGCGCGCTGAGGAGGGGTCAGGTTCACCTGCTGACCTCAGAGAAGGGGCTGACAGTGCGGGATCTTCCCAGGTTTCACCTGAGAGGCCTGTCTATGAATTGCGCAGCACAGCCGTCTGGCCTTTTATTGCCAGCAAGTTTTCTGTCACTCAAGAAACCTCATGACAGGAGGGACACACCCTTGGTACAGACTTTGTGAGGAAATGGAGCCAAATGCCTATGGAATGAGTCATGGCAAAGCTCAGCCAACACCCCCTGGCTAAGGAGGCTGAGGCAGAGAATCCAAGTCATCCAGGGCTTTTATGTCAGCCAGACCACAGAGCACCCCCAGGTCCAGGTCATCTGGCTGTCATCAATCCATCATTTCTGTCATGACACCCACTTCCATCCCTTCCTCATTCAACTGTGCAGATAATACCAGCTTCACTTCTTTATTAACTCGTAGAGTGTTCAGCAGCCCCAAGAGATCATCATTGTTGCAGATGAGGAAACTGAGATTCATAGAGGTGAAATGACTGCCCAAGGTTACCCAACCAGTAATTGGCACAGTTGGCATTCAAACCCAGGAGGGTCCAGTCCTACACAGTCCAGTCCAGCTACCTTAACTGATGCTTCACAGCTACTCAGCCTCTGTCTTCTCTTCCTCATGACCTTCCTCCTCTATTCTTTTTAGCCTTTATTTCACCTCACTTCATTTTATGTTAACAGCTTTAAAGAGATATAATTCATATACCATACAATTTACCCATTTAAAGTATACAATTCGATGGGTTTTATCATATTCACAGTTATGTAACCATTACCACAGTCAATTTTAGAATGTTTTCACCACCTCAAAAATAAACCCTGTACCCTTTGGTTATTGCCAACCACCGCCCCCTCCGCCCCCTTGCCATACCTCCCAGACCTAGGCAACCACTAATTTACTCTCTGTCTCTATAGATTTCCCTGTTTTGGACATTTCACATGAATGGAATCATGTAATATATTATCTTTTCTGTTTGGCTTTCACTTAGCATAATGTTTTTAAGGTTTGTCCATGTTGTAGCTTATATCAGTACATCATTCTTTTTTATAGCTGAATAATATTCCATTCTATGGATATACCTCATTTTGTTTATCCATCAGTCCATTAATGGATGTTTGGGTTGTTTCCACCTTCTGGCTATTATGAATGATGTTGCTATAAACATTAGGTTACAAGTTTTTGTGTGGATGTATGTTTTCACTTTTCTTGGGCATATACCTAGAAGGGGAATATTCAAATGATACTGAAATATATTTAGCAAAACTGGAACATTCCCTTATAATGCAGCAGCCACTGTGGAAAGCAGTATGGTGGTTCCTCAAAAAATTAAACATAGATTTACCATTTGATCCAGAAATTTTTACTTTTGGGTATGTAGACAAAGAATTGAAAACAGGGACTTGAAGAGATATTTGTACACCAGTGTTCACAGCAGCACTATTCACAATGGCCAAAAGGTGGACACAACCCAAAGGTCCAGCAATGGATGAATGGATAAACACAATGTGGTGTATACGTACAATGGAATATTATTCAGCCTTAACAAGGAAGGAAATTCTGACACATGCCACAACATAGGTGAATCTTGAAAACATTACACCAAATGAAATAAACCAGACACAAAAAGACAAATATTATGTTGTGATCCCACTCATATGAGGTGCCTATTGGAGTCAAATTTATAGAGACAGAAAGTAGAATGGTGGGTGCTAGGGGCTGGTGGGGGGCGAATGAGGAGTTAGTGTTTAATGAGGACAGAGTTTCTGTTTTGCAAGATGAAAAATTTCTGTAGATGGATGGTGGTGATGGATGCACAACAATGTGAATGTACTTAATGCCACTAAATGAACTGAATGCCACTTAACTTAAAAATGGTTAAAATGATAAATTTTTATGTTTGTATATTTTACCGCAATAACAAAATTTTTAAAACTGGAATATTCTCATCCCCCCAGTTCTGCCTTTTGTTTCAAGATAACTCAGGCATCCAACTGGGCAATTTTTCTCCAAATCCCTATCTCTGCATTGACTTACACATTTATAGCTGTTTGTTATATATGTTGGCTCATTCTACCAAATTGTTCCGTTACTTGCTTTGTTTACTTAATTATATGTCTGAGTCATCTTTCCATGTTGGTACCTATGGAACAAACTCATTTTTTGTTTTCTTTTTATAAACTTTTTATTGAAGAATCGCCTCCATACAGAAAAGAGCACAAATCTTCAGTGTGCAGCTCAGTGAATTTTCACACACTGAACACACCCATGCAACCAGGACCTGATCAAGGAAAAGAATGTGTCCAGCTCCCTGCCCCCGGATTCTCTCTTCTGCCTCCCTTCTTGTCACTACTCTGCCCTTGCCTTCCCCAAACACTATCTTGATATAGAACATTACTATGGATGAACTTTCCCTGCTTTTGGTACTTTACATAAAGGGAATCACGTCGTATGTTCTCTTTTGTGTCTGGCTATGTTCACTCAGCATTATGCTTGTGAGATTTAATCTTTTTTTGCATGTGTCTATAGATCTTCAATCTTATTGCTTAATAGCAGTACTTCTCAATCTTTTTTTCGTTTTTGCCCCCCCGACAACCCATTTTAGACATTTTTCGTAATTAGCTCTGTGAAATTTAATACCACAGATATATTGCATATCTCTGTATGTCATCTACCTAGCTATCATCTATATCTGTCTATCATCTATCTGTATGTCTCTATATTGTATGTATATCTGTATGTTTTTCACTCCCCCCAAACCATTTTTTGCCCCTGTGGAAGTAAATATTGCTCCCATTAAGGACGCATACTTTATAGTATTGCATTGTGTGAATATACTGCAACTTACTTATCCAATCTATTATGGACGGGCATTTGGCTAGTTTCTAGTTTTTTAGAGATTACCAGCCATGGAGCTATGCACATTCTAGTACATGCCTTTGATGAATATATGTACACATTTCTGTTGGGTATATACTTGAGTGGAAACACTGGGTAATGGGGAATGCATATGTATACCTTTAGTAGTTATTGTCAAATAATTTTCCAAAGGGCTGTACCAGTTTAACCCTCCCACCAGCAGTGCATGAAGGCTCCAGGTCCATGCCAACACTTGGTACTTTCCATCTTTCTCATCTGAGCCATTCCAGTGCATGTGCTACAGCGTTGGTTTTATAAACTGCACCATATTCCACAGAAGGGACATACAGTAATTTGTTTAGTCAGTGTCCTGCTGATGGACATTTAAAGTGTTTCCAGTATTTCACCATGACAGTGCTGCCATGAGCAACCTTGTACATTCCTCTTTAGTCACAAGATTGAACCTTTTCCAGAGGAGAGGTTCCTAGAGGTGGAATTATTGGTTCAAAGGGCATAGACATCAAAATTTTTGATAAATTCTGACTGCAAACTTGCCTTCCCAAAAGGCTTTAACAATTTGCTTTCCATCTCAAACAATATATGAGAAGGTGCCCATTTCCCTGCATCCTCAACAACACAGGATATTCCCACTAAGCCTCAGTTTTCTTATGTGAGAAAAGGAGACCTACCTTCTGGGGCTGTAGGGAGCTTCAGAGAGGTATGCTGTATGTAAAGCACCCAGCAATGCTGGTTCTTGACATATGGCAGAATGCTACCTTTTCTTCTTTTCCATCTCTCCCTCTTCCTCTTCCTAGTTCTCCTCCTCCTTCATTCAATTTATTCAACCAATATTTATTGAACACTGTGCCTGATGCCAGGTCAATATTGGTGAATAAAACTGATGTAGTCTCCATCTTTGTGAAGATTACAATCTCATATCATCTCCTCCTTCTTTTCCTCCTCCTTTATCTTCATTGTCACCAACAGCACCCACATATCTTGCAAAGTGCCTCATTATCCCTAGCACCATAGCAAGTATTAATTACAGATCATGTCCCAACCATAAGTTTTCTGTGCAGGTGTAGAGTTTGGGGGTTGTTGGGCTGTGTATGTGAAGCATGTAGGGAAGCATCCTTTCTTATGTGTCTTCAAAGTGACCCAGGTAAGGTCTGACCATTCCAGGAAAGGATAGATCAATATACCTGGGAGTGCATGGAATCATCTAGAGAGTTTGGGAGACATGCCGTTGCCTTGTTCTGTGATGGTGTACAAAGCACACATTGTTCATTGGGAGAGAAACAGAAACCAGAGAAGAACCCAATCAAACTGGATCCAGCATCCCATTCTCATCCCATGCCAAATGTTTTAGCTAAACTATGCCTCTGCAACCTTCTTCCTTTTTGAAATCTCATTCCTTCATAGAGTCTGGTCAGCTAAGGAGGCTGGATCTTAGAGAAAGGAATTGGGAATATGAGTGTCTGCAATGGTGTGCTGGAAAATGGTTAACAACTGGCTTGCTCTAAAGAAACAAGCAAACAACAAAAAGCAAAAAAGTCCTGATTTGTAGTGTGTGCCAACTTCCATGGTATAAATACTCCCATAGTGGCTGATTTCATGTTACCAACATGGCGTCACTGAATGTGGAGTTGGGAAGAGCTGACTTCAGCACACCACTGAGTGTCTCAAAGGGAGTCCTTAAGAGTGTCCAACCCCATATGCCCAGAATTGAAAAGGGTATTTCCTGAGGTAGCCTTTCTTCAGGAAAGCAGGTGGGTCCAGACAGCTCAGTCCCTGGAGGCGAGGGCCATGTTTGAACATTTCATTCAGAGCCATAGTAGGTGTACAAGAAGGAAGAGCTGGATGGATGAAAGCGCTGCCATGTCCAACTGTCTCCTGAAATGGAGGATGGCAGAGATGGTTCCTCATCAATTCCTCCTCAATCAATCAATGAGGAGACTTCAGAACATCTCAGCTCCTCCGATGAGACACATGTTTATACAGTGTTAGTGTGTGAGAGAAGGGTGCGTCACTACAGGCGGGAGTAACTATTATTTAATTAATTAACTCACTAGTTAAATTGATTAATTATATTAATCAGAGTTATCCAACAATTAGTTAGCCAGAGAAAGACAACCTGGTGTAAAGACTCCATGGAGGGATACATGCCTAAGTTTATAAGGTTGCAGGTTGGCTTCCCAGAGGAGCTGGTATTTCATCTGAGACCTGAGGAATGAGGAGGTGCTTTCCAGGTGGGCATATGGGGGTGGTAGCTGATGCAGAGGGATCCCAGCATGGGCAATAGCAGAGGTGAGGGAGAGAGCTTGGTGGCTTCAAGGTACCATGCCTGCTTCCGTGTAGCTGGAGAATAAAGAGTAAGGGACGATGGTGGTGAGAGGTGAGTCCAGGTGAGACGTGAGTCTGGGTGGTGAGAGGTGGGTCCAGCTGAGAGGTGAGTCCAGATAGTGAAAGTTGAGTGTAAGAAGGGGTCAGATCATGAAGGGACTTGAAGCTACTGTAGGGAGACTGGATTTGGTTGGGTTGTAGGGAAAACAACTGTTTTTATTTGCCCAGGACGGATGCATATCCTAGGATGCAGGGATTTCAGTGATGAAAACCCCAAGTCCCAGGTAAAGCAAAATGAGTTGGTCCTCTTTCCAATAGGAAATGGGGAGCCATCGAAATTCCGAGCTGGGGAATGATACGGTAACCATTGGTTGTGAAAAGATCAATCGGATCTCAGGTAAAACGAAGCTCCTGCAGGAAGCCATCCCTGAACCCTCCCTGGACCAGATCAGATCCCAATTTCCAGGGCTCCCTGCACTTCTCCCAGGCAGGCATGTTGCTCTTATAATGCTGGTTTGATGTCTGCCTTCCCCCGAGGACAGCTGGCTGGTGAGAGCATGAGCCACACATGTTGTGTCTACTCAGCACCCAGCATGACTCATGGAAAACGTTCAATAAAGGTCTGTGAATTGGGAGCAAATACCTGGCATTGTCAGAATTGACACCCGTGCTCCCTAACTGTTCAAGTATAAACTGGGAATAATACCACTTTCCTCATCAAGACTGTGGTGTGAGAACATCTAACCCAGGACTTGGGGCAGGGAGCCGAAGAATAAGTGCTCAAGAAATCTTAGTGGAGCGTGAACCAGAATGGTAAGGCAGAACACGAGGAGTCACTGTGGGCTGGAGCAATCATTAGTTAGTTAGTCAACTCATTAAATTGATGAATTACATTTATTATTACTAATTCAATAGTTGTCTAATCGTATTATTTGATAACGTTTTATTGTTTTATTTTCTGATGGTGAACTGTCTTCATGGAACTCCTGTTGGGGGACCCAGACAGCCCATAGATAGAGGTCAGGGTGACCAGCACTGAGATGGGGACACAGGAGGCTGCAAGAGCCTGGAGGAGACCCCTGCCCCAGTCTAGCACAGAAAGCAAGGGACTGGGCTGTCCCTTGACTACGTTCCTGTTCTGGCTTGGCTGCAGGCTGATCACTTAACCTTTCTGAGCCAGAATTGCCTCACTTGTTAAAACCTACTTGGAGAACTGTTCTGAGGATGAAATGAAATAATTTCTGTAAAGTGGCTTGGCATTACCTGACCATTTGGCAGGCTCTGGGTCTGACACTGTTCTTGGAGCCGTAGACACAGTCTTCACAGGCTTACATTATAGGGTAGTGCTTCTCCTCCATGGCTGCAAGTTGTAATTACCTGGGGAGCTCTTAAAAATACGGATGCCTGGGTTCTCCTCCGGAAGATCCTGATTTAAGTGATCAAGGTGGGGTCCCAACATTGGTATTTTAAAAAAAGGGCTCCAGGTGATTCGAATGTGTTGCAGGTCAAATACCATTGGTTTTGTGGGAAGGGACAGATAATAACTGAATAAATGAATATACAAGATAATTCAGATGGTGATGTGCATTTAAAAAGGAAACAGCCCAGATGAGGTGACAGGGAAGGACTAAACATGGTGACAGGATGGTCGGGGTGGGTCTCAGAGGAGATGGCACTTGAACTGGGAAGTGTAAGTGCTCAATTTACATGGCTTCTCCCCTTTCCCTTACACCACTGTTCTCCAACTTGGCTGAATGTTGGAATTACCAAAGGAGTTTTAAGAAATAATAATGCCTGGCTCCCATTCTCAGAGACCTGATTTAGTTGGGGCCCAGGACATTTATAACTTAAAATTTACCATTGCAGCCATTTTATATTGAACAATTCAGTGTCATTGAGTACATTCACAATGTTGTGCAACCATCACTTCTATCTAGTTCCAGAACCTTTTTATCACCCCAAATGGAAACCCCGTCCCCATTAAGAAGTTGCGTCCATCCTCCCCTTCTCCCAGCCCTTGCAACCATTAATCTGGATTAATCACTCTCTCTATGGATTTACCTATTCTTATTCACAATGGCCAAAAGGTGGAAGCAACCCAAACATCCATCAGTGAATGACTCCGTAAACAAAATCTGGTAGATTCATACAATGGGATATTACTTAGACATAAAAAAGAATGAAGCACTGATACATGCTTCAATGTGGATGAGCCTTCAATGCTGTATGTTCAGTGAAAGGAGCCAGAAACAAAAGGCCACATAGTGTATGGTGCCACAGGATTTTTAAAAGGTTCAGATGACTGTTAGGTGCAAGGAAGCTCGTGAACCACCAGCTTATACCATATTGGATTTTGATCAATAACAGATTGAAGTGCAGGCACGGGTTGACATTGTTCACAATCACAGTCAGCAATGGCATCCCAGGCCTGAAACAGACTTGTTTTCTAAGCAAATGTGGGTGAGGGCACCCAGTCCCCAAGCTATCCAGTCTCTCAGGTTGTTTTGCAAAGAATGAAGGAAGACGCTTCAATGAACATACACACCCTTCCTGGGCACCACTCTCCTGTGAGTTCACAGGCATAGTGGCTGTGTCCTGCCTTCACACACGGCTAGAGAATGGCCATGTACCCAAAGAGCTCATGCTCACTCCCTGGGCACATCCGTGAATTCCTCTTTGCAGCAACAGAGCCCTTTCTCTGCTTGATGCCTTTATTCTCACCTGCGTCACCAGCCTGTGGTTCCATTCGAACCTCAGATCCTGACCTCTGGGGCCCTCTTTGTTGTGCCAGGAGCTGCAGTGAGATCTCACTGTGATGAGAAGGAGGTGGTGTTGCTCAAAGACTTGGCAACTCAGGCTCCATTGTCATCCCAGGCTCCTTGGAGGGTAAACAATCCACAGGCACCCAACAAGACAAGTCTGAGAGAATCTCGTCAGGCGGGATTTTGTCTGCCACAGTCGGGGAGGACGCCCATGTGCCTCAGGCGTTCCTACCCACCCTGAACATATCAAAGTTTAGCAGCATATTTTCAAGCACCGTGTCTGACCAGGCAAGGGAAACAATAGAAAAAATAAACAAATGGGACACATCAAACTAAAAAGCCTCTGCACAGCAAAGGAAACAATCAACAAGACAAAAAGACAACCTAACAATTGGGAGAAGATATTTGCAAACCATGTGTCTGATAAGGGGTTAATATCCAAAATATATAAAAAACTCATACATCTCAACAACAAAAAAACTAACAACCCAATTAAAAAATGGGCAAAAGACCTGAACAGACATTTTTCCAAAGAAATTATTCAGATGGCCAACATGAAAAGGTGTTCAACATCACTAACTATCAGGGAAATGCAAATCAAAACTATAATAAGCTATCACCTCATGCCCTTCAGAATGGCTGTAATTAACAAGACAGGAGAGTGCTGGAGAGGATGTGGAGAGAAGGGAACTCTCATACACTGCTGGTGGGAGTGCAAACTGGCGCAGCCACTACGGAAAACAGTATGGAGATTCCTCAAAAAATTAAGGATAGAACTACCATATGATCCAGCTATTCCACTGCTGGGTATTTATCCAAAGAACATGAAAACACGAATGTATAAAGAAACATGCACCCCTGTGTTCACTGCAGCATTATTCACAATAGGCAAGACTTGGAAGCAACCTAGGTGCCCATCAAGGGATGAATGGATAAAGAAGATGTGGGATATATACACAATGGAATACTTCTCAGCCATAAAAAATGATGAAATCTGGCCATTTGTGACAACATGGATGGACCTTGAGAGAATTATGCTAACTGAAATAAGTCAGAGGAAGAAAGTCAAATACCATATGATCTCACTCATAAATAGAAGATAAAAACAACAACAAACAAACACATAAGAGACCGAGATTGCATTGGTGGTTACCAGAGGGGAAGGGGGGAGGGAAGAGGGAGAAAAGGATGATTAGGCACATGTGTGTGGTGATGGATTGTAATTAGTCTTTGGGTGGTGAACATGATGTCATCTGCACAAAAATCGAAATACAATGATATGCATCTGAAATTTATATAATGTTTTTGACCAATGTTACCACAATAAAAATAACAGTCTTGCAAGTCACTGAGCTTAGAATACAATGTGGAGCACAGGTATGCAGCTGTAGCTTCTCAGGCACCCACTCAGAGCATCTGAAGAATGGGAACTCTAATCCTGACTGTGAGACTGCACAGAGAAAACTGAGGTTTAGAAATGTTAAGTAACGTGGCTCAAAAGTGGCACAGCTAGGCTTAGAGGACAGCTGTTTCAGACTCCTGAGTCTCCTTATTTTCTTTCCTTCATGGTCCAAGGGTCAGATCAGTGAAAAAGAAATCAAAGAAGGGCTTGGCTACTCTCCTAAGTCTAGCTGGAGAAGGTCACATGAGCTCAGCAGAATAAATGAGCCAGCCCAAGCTGCTCAGGGGGGCCTGAAGCAGGTCTGGCAACCAAAGTAGTCCTCCCTCTGACCTTGAGTGAGTGCGCCCACTCTGCACGGCCGCGTTCTCCGGCCTGGTCCACCCCTTGGGCATCTACATGTCTCAGTTGCTCCCATTCCTACCAATTTGCTGTAGACATGAAGGTGTGTGTGTAAGGGAGTTCAGGTAGAAGGGATGTGAATAAGTGGGAAATCTTCACTCTATAGCAAGCAGATAATTGAGCAGAAGGCACAATAGCATAATGGTAAGGATGTAGGTTCCGGAATCAGACTGTCAGGGTTGGATGCATGACCCCAGTGACTTGAATTATGTAACCTCTTGGTGGCTCAATGACCTCATCTATAAAGAAGAGATAGTAATGTCCACTTTACTTGAGTATTGTGAGGATTTAATATATCCAAAGCACTTAGAAAAGTGTTTGTTATTTAGAAAGCACTCTATTTTACTTTCTAAATACCTCTTGAATTCATCCTTTTCTCTCCAACATCACTTCCTGGTTGACATGGTAATCCCCATGACCTGGGCAGCAGCTGCAGGGTCCTAATTGATCTCCACTAGCTGGCTGTGTGACCTGGACAAGCCCCTGCTACGCCCCGGGACACCTGCCTCTTTACTATGTACAAGGAGATGGGCTCTGGTCAGCCAGTTGGTGTTTTGGAAGCTGCATGGTGTGTGCACTGTACATCTTTTTCATGGTGAGTGTGGAGGAAAGGAGAAGGGAAGGAGGTGGCCGTACACTGATACTATCCACAGACTGAGCCAAGTCTCCTGGGGAGGAATGTGGTTCACACCTCTCTGGGATGCAATGACTTAATAGCAATTAATGATGGCTGTAATTATTGTGCTATTAATGAGCACAAGATGAATATAAAAGAATAATTATTATGTGTTAGTGCCATCAACAAGCAGAAATGGCAATTGTGGTTACTCTTGCAGTGAAGAGTCACAAACATGTCTTGTGTTCAGAAATGGGTGGGGAAAGACACGGGAACAAATGAGTGAGAGAGAATCCCAGCAAGTGTGCGAAAGAGTGCTTGGGTGGAAAATTGCTGGAACAGGGATTGCAATAGAATTGACTGCACAAGGTCATTTCTCCAAAGAGGGACCCAACTGAAGCCCCGATGCTGTCATCTACATATCAACCAATCAGACATCTTGAATCTCAAGGATATGTATTGATGAGATATTGAGGCCTTCTGGGGCCTTTCCACCAGAAATGGAAAATGTCTATGTGAAATCAGATCTTCCAAATGCTGACCTCATGAAGGTCTCCTGATTGTGGGCAAGACAAGAAGCTACTTCTGCCAGGGGGATGCTTAATGATGTTACACAAAAAGTGTTTTTTTCCCACATTGAGGGGAACATTTTTAGGTAGAACTTCCTTTCTTTTCCTTCCTTCCTTTCCTCCCTCCCAGTCTCCTTCTCTCCTTCCTGCTACATTTATTAACTGCCTACTATATCCCAAGCATGGTAAATATATTGGAGAAAAATTAGATATGGTCCATAGTGTCATGCACTTTACATTTACTGGGTGGAGACAGTCATTAGTAAAACAACCACACTGATGAATACATAATCAGAAGCTGAGCTAAGTACACTGAAGGAGAGAAGTAGGGTTCTATGAGAACTAAAAGAGACCAAGCAAGGCTACTAAGAGATCTGGGAAGACCTCCCTGAAGAGGAGACATGCTTGAGTGGGGATCTTCTGGGCAGAGGTGTGTGACTGGGGGGGAGTGAGAAAGAGTGGCCCAAGGAGAGAATCAACGAGGAGAAAAGGCCCTGGAGCTGCTGAAGAAGCCGATGAGAGGGATGACGGGGCGTGGTCCAAGACGCATTGGAGAGAGAGAGGCAAAGGCTGGACCTGCAGACTCCTGTCCTAAATGACTCTTTCCTCCAAACGGAATGGAATCGGATCTTTCCACCTTGACCTCCAATTGCTGTAGGTGCAGTGTCAGGACTCAGAGGTATACATAGCTCCAAGATCACTCAAATAAAACCCAGAGAAGCCTTTTCCCAATTTTTAAGGCATTAGGCCAGGCATTTTGTAAGTGTCCTGGAGGAAGTGAACCTCTTTAGAAATCTGTTGATAAAGATTAGGTACTCAGGACTGCTGATGCTGACAGTACTTGAATCCTCAAGTACACTGATGGCTCACAGAAATTTTCATCAATGCTAATGAGATTCCTGATGGAAGAAAGGACCTTCCAACAGAGAGCAGTATGAGGAAAACAATGAGGGATGTGCAGAAGAAGGGGAGTTGTCCCAAATTAAATGAGTACAAAGGAAGAAGCATCTGGACCACATCCACACAGGAATCTGACCTGCAAAACTGGGCCCTAGCTGCGTCTCCAGCCTCACCCACTGCCATCCTAAAAATAGTTTTCAGCTTCCCCGATGTATCAGATGCTTTCTCTCTTGCCCCGGAACCTTTGCCCAGGCTGTTCCCCTTCCTAAAAACTCTTCTCCATGCCCCTCCTCCCCTTTTTTACCTGACTGAATACCGTTCATAGTTTAGGTGACAGCTTTAACAGCAACTTCTTAGGGCAGACTTTCCTGACCTGCCTTCTCTCTACTAGGTGAGATCTCCCTAGTTATATGCACCCATCACATCTTGCTCTTCTCCTTTATAACACTTCTAATTACTTGGGTCAAATTTGTCCTGTTTATGGAGTGCTCACTGTGTGCCAGCACGGTCCTACGCACTTTAAATGTATCGTCCCATTTAATTCTCACAGCCCTGAGAGGTAAGAACTGTTATTATGGCCATTTTGTATGTTGGGGAAACTGAGGCACGGCGAGATTAAATAAGTTGGCCAAAGTCTCTCAACTAATACTTGGCAGGACCAGAGTTTGAACTGATACCTGACTCCAGTGTCCGTGTTCTTCACTACTTCCTGTAGCCTAGAAGGAAGAGGCCTGAGGCTGGAAAATTATGCAGGGGCTTCTCAAAGCAAGATGGATCTGCTATTTCCAGGCCACCCAGACACTCAGAGCTTATCCCAGAAAACAGGGATCATTAAGCCCCGTGCTAGTTCTTACCAAATAGGAACATGATGATTTGCAGGGCTGAGTCAGTGGGTGACTCAGGTGATGAACTGAGGAAGGTGGGAGCAGACAGCTGCTTAGTGGCACATGGTTATGTCTCCAGAGGAAAGAGACAAAGAGAGCCCTGAACTTCTGCTAACACAAGGTGGGAACCAAAAGGAATCATATTTTTAAAAAATGTATTATTTAGAAAATAACTTTGGTTGTGGTAACTGGCTTAAGATATAGAAGGTCATTTTTTTTATTTCGTGTAAAAATAGAGATAGATGGTTCAGAGCTGGCATGAAAGTTCAGCAATCACCAGGGAGCTACATGCCCTCTATTTTGTTGCTTTGCTCCCCTCAATATTTAGCTTTCATCTTGTGGCCCCAAATGGCTGCTTCAGCTCCCACCATCACATCCTACATTCCAGTTGGCAGAAAAGAGGAAAGAGGAAGGGAAGAGCACGTTCGTTTCCTTTAAGAGAATGACTAGGATACTGCACATATAGCTTCTAGTCACATCTCATTGACCATAATGTAGTTCTATAGCCACACCTAGCAACTCTGGATTCTCCGTGCCCTCCCAGCCCATTCTCAGCTCAGATCTTCCTTGTTAAAGATCTAACGGTGTCCTGATACCCACACGTCAAAGCCACAAGCCTCATGGTTTGCTTCCTCAGACCGTAGCTCTAGAGCCTGAATGGGGCTGTGAAGGGAGCTCTGAGCAGGGAGTCAGGAGATCTCCATTCTAGCCCTAACCTGCTACAAACTTAATGTGAGACCTAAATCGAATCGCTTCTCCTTCCTGGGTCTCAGCATCTCCATTTGTAAAATGAGATAATTGGACCCCTTTCCACGTATTCTTTTGTGTCCTTCTAGGTTCTAGAAAGTTCCTCACCATCTTCTGCAGAATTCCATGGACTAACACCTTTGTTAGGACTGAGATGCTTTCTCCTACTCCACCTGTGGTTATTTGGAACCCTAGATCACTCAACTTTCCATTCCATCTTTCAAGCATTCCCTCAAAGCCTGAAGCCTCAAGTAAACCTTTGTTGATAGATGGATAGTGTCACAAAAACTTCAAGTTTCCCCCCAAATCCATGCTCCATCTAATTGCAGAGTAATATAAACCTGAGCTGGGTATAAGGCTGCCAAGCTAAAGATTACATCTCTCAGGCTCCTTTGTGGCTAAGGTTGGTCGTGTGACTGAGTACTGGCCAATAGGAAGTGAGCACAACTTGTATGTACAACTTCCAGGTCACCCCCTTAAAAGGGAGGAGCCGTCTTTTCCTTCTTCCTCCCTACTTCCTGCTGGCCACAGGTGTGAGGAGTGGCATTGGGGCAGCCATCATGGAATATGAGTTGGAAGCCATAGCAAGATAGACATGGAGCCCCCCTCCTCATTCGAGGCCAGGACTGCCTACCTGGAACTTTACCCTGCTACTCTGTGATACTGGATCTCCGTGTTTAAAAAGAAAACAAATCTACATCCTAACTAATACAGAATTTGGTACCAGGAGAAAGAGGCTACCTCAACGGAACCCCAAATATATGACATTGGTTTAGTATAGTGATCTGCAATCAGGGGCGATCTGCCCCTCCCCCAGGACGTTTGGCAAAATCTGGAAACATTTTAGGTTGTCTTGAGTTGGAAGGAGATGTTACTGACATCTAGTGGGCCAAGGATGCAGCTGAACAATACAATGTGTCCTACAATACACAGGACATCCCCACAGGGCAAAAAATGATCTGGCCCCAAATGTCAACAGTGTCCTGACGAGAAACTGGGGCTTCACAGGAAATGGTGCAGACACATGCACAGACGCTGGGAAGCTGCTCACTTGTGTTCTGCTGTGATAGAATATTTGGTAAGGCTGTTAATTACAATGTGGGCAGAGCCTACAGCTCTAGGGGAAATGGTTTTAAAAACTTAGAATGTTGGAGTATGTTGACTGCTTCTTGCTGCTGTCAGCAAAGTCCTACAAAACAAAAGATGGACTCCAAGTGGAACCAGCCAGTGTGCAAGCAGAAACAGAAGGAGAAAACATTATGCTGAGTGAAAGAAGCCAGGCACAAAGGTCACATGTTGTGTGATTTCTTTTATGTCAAATGTCCAGGACAGACAAATCCATAGAGACAGAAAGTAGATTAGTGGTTGCCAGGGGCTGGGGTGAGGGAGGATGGGGAGTGACTGCTTAATGGGTATGGAGTTTTATTTTGGGGTGATGAAAATGTTTTAGAACTAGATAGTGGTGATGGTTGTACAACATTGTGAACGTAGGAGATTTTTTAGGCATGTTAAGATGAACGTGTTGGCTATAGTTATTCCTCACAGATGGATCTGATCGGAAATCAAGAGACTGGAAGTCTACTAACTTTTTGAGAGAATTTTATTATTGAAGAAATTGTGTCAAAAAGCCTGTGGTTGTTCAAACTCCAAAACATCTCTGGCTCTAAGTTGATACCAGCAGGGAGTGAACTCTGAAGTCTATGCCCTTCCTCCCCAAGGTTCCATCTCTTATGCCCACTTAAAATGTATTTTTGGAGAAAGATGGACAAGGAGACCCTTACAGAGGCAAAGCAAGAAGTCATGGAGGACAGTGGACAAGGAAATTTCTCCAAAAGAGAAGAATAAAGTGGGAAAGTGATACATCGAATTTACACTTAGCTTATCCAAATTCCCAGCATGGTTGAACATGCACATTATATCACAGTTAGAAAAAAACCTTGCATCCTGAGAAAACTGCCCCCAGATTGCACCTTGTGTTTCCTTAAGTTGCTCAATAGTTTTGCTTAGCACTAAACCCCAAATACATTAAATATTGGGCCCTGTGGTAGGCAGCTTCTGACATTGCTGCCAATGGTCCCCACCTCCTGGTTTTCATTCCCTTGTGTAACCTGCTCACCTTCAGTGTGGGCTGAACCTAGTGACTCACTTCTAGTGAACAGAATATGGCAAAAGTGATGGGATGTCACTTCTGAGACTAGGTTACAAAAAGACTGTGACTTCTGTCTTGTTGTCTCTCTCTGGCTTGTCTTGCTTGCCTTGGTTTTCACGCTTTGATGACGTGAGCTGCCATGTTGGAGAGGCTCATGTGGCCAACAGCCTGTGAGGAACTGAATCCTGCCACAACCTTGTGAGTAAGCCTGGAAGCAGAGTCTTCCCCGGTAGAGCTTTCAGATGTGACCACAGCCCCAGCTGACGTCTTGACTTCAGCCTGGAGAGACACCTTGAGACAGATGACTGAGAGATAATACATGTTTTTGTTTCAAGCCATTGAGTTTTTGGGTAATTTGTTACATAGCAATAGATAACTAATACAACCATATGTTACTGACTCTGTAAAAGAAAGCAATGTACTGCTGATGGTTTGCAGTGCTGACCCTACGTGTAAGCACAATGAAGAAGTGCTGTTTTTTCCCACCAATTAGAATACTGAACAAAAGCAACCATATTTTTATTTATTTATTTTATCTTTTTGAGGTCACATTGGTTTATAACATTATATAAATTTCAGATGTACATCATTGTATTTCGACTCCTGTGCAGACTGCATCGTGTTCACCACCAAAAGTCTAGTTGCCATCTGTCACCACACACATGTGCCACTTTACCCCTTTCATCATCCTCCAAACCACTTCCCCTCTGGTAATCACCAATCTGTTCTCCATGTCTATGTGTTTGTTTAAAACAATCGTATTTTTGTATAGTTTTAAAATATATGTCAGATCTTAATTCTGAGGGCCAGTTCTCTGAAGGTGAGACTCCCTTGCGAGTTAAAAAATAATGTTCTCAGCTCTCAAATTTACTCCTGAGCTTTTCTTTTCTATTTTTTTAACATTTAAAAAAATGAGATATTTTTGACATAGAACGTGTAAATTTAAGAGGTACAAGATATTGATTTGATATATATAATGCAATATAATTGCCACTGTAGCATTAGCTTACCCCTCTGTCACGTCACATAGTTATCATTTCTTCTAGTGGTGGTAACAATTAAGATCTATTCTCTTAGCATGTTTAATGTTAATAGTACAGTTTTGTTGTTTATAATTACTTTACTATGTATTAGATCTCCAAGACTTATTTATCTGCTAGGTGCAAGTATGTGCTCTTAAACAACATCCCAAGTTTTTCTTGAACAAAAGGAGCGCTATTTTGCCAGAGAAGGAAGTATTTAATACCCTGCACAGAAGGATTTGCCATTTGCTAATGACCAGGGACTGCTCAGCGTAAACTCTTCTCTCCAATCCTTAGCAGAGGTCTTAAATCACCACTCTCCTGTTTGAATCCCACAATGTTCATTTGATGTGTATGGGGCAGATAGCTTACTGTTTGGTTTACTGACCACAAGACTGTGAGTCACTCCACTGATGGAGAAACCTGCTCATCACCCAGAAGTCCTAGAGTTTGAGACAGAAGTATTTATGATAGGACCTTGGAGTGTCATCCTAAATGGAAAAAACAATGCACTGAAATAACCACTCCTAATGTGTTGCTGTATTTCCTTTCAGTATTTACTCAAGAATTTTTGACTTTGCAAACTCATAGAATCAGAGAGTAGAATGGTGGTTTCCAGGGACTGAAGGGAGGGAGAAATGAGGGGGATGTTGGTCAAAGGATACAAACTTTCAGTTATGCAGGATGAATAAGTTCTGGAGATCTGATGCACAGCATGATGACTATAGTTAACAATACTGTGTTGTGTATTTGAAATTTGAGAAAATTAAGAGGGTAGATCTTAAGTGTTCTCACCATGCACACAAAAAGAAGCAAATGGTAACTGTGAGAGGTGATGATATGTTAATTAGCTTGATTGTGGTGATCATTTCACAATGTACATGTACAACAAACATAAAGTTGTACTCATTAAATATATACAATTTTTATTTGTCTATTATATACCTCAGTAAAGCTGTTCAAAAATTTGACTTTGAAGATGACTCTGAGAGGCATTTAGGTTAGTCCAGGGTTTCTCAACCTTGACACCATTGACTATTTTCGGCCAAGTAATTTTTGTCATGGTGGGGGTCCTTGTGCGCTATAGGACATTTAGCAGCATTCTGGCCTCTACCCATGAGATGCCAGCAGCATCTCCTACCCACACCCCTGGTTGTGACAACCAAAAATGCCTGCAGACATTGCCAGATGTCCCCTGGGGGGCAGAATTGCTCCTGGTTAAGAACCTCTGTTTTTGTCTAACCTCTGTTGATTGAGAACTACTGTTTTAGTCCTATATGAGTCTCCCCAGGACAACTTCCCTGGCAAATTCTAGCCCATGCTTGAT